TTGTATAAAAAATTTTAGTAAAGAGACGAAAAAGAACTCTTTGTTAACGAAGTTGGTAAAAGAAGACTTAAGAATAGAGGACAATAAATTATTTTGTCTACACACTCCTTTGAGCTTCAAAAACAATAATATACCGCAAGCTTTTTCTCCTCTAGTCTTCTTTTTTTTCGACAAAAAGTAGGAAATTTGGTTTCCTCCCTACAAAAGATCGGCATTGTTTACTTCTTCTATTTTTAGAAATACTCTGTGGATATGTGACCTCATGCAGTAAACAAAGTCACGTACTTTGTTTATTTGTTTAGTCTTTCATGTGACCTCGATACTACAAGTCCTAAATTTTAAAGATAGATTGTATGTTAAAAAGAGAAATATTCAAGATGGATTATAAGTTGTACAACTTAAAATTTTTAAGCCTAACTCAGGTTATAGGGTATCTGGTTACCTTTTTCTTTTATTTTCTGTCCCTTCTATTATGTTACTGCCTAATAAAGTTTTTACGACTTAGGACAAGTTTTTCTTTGTTAGTAAGCTTAGTAACAATTTTTATTTTTTCCTGCCACTAGGTATTAATATCTTTTAATTTAGCTTTAGTTAGATTAGGAGGAATCTGGTTTTGACAGTCTGATATCATGGTTCTGGTCTCTTTTGACTAGTGTAACAGGTCATACTTAAGCACTCCTAGAAGCAGCTAAGTAATATCAAGCTTAGGAAATTAGATAGAATTTTTCTTAAAGTTCAATATATAACGAGTAGGACACTACATGTTAACAACCTAATAAAGTATTATAATGAGACTGTCAAAGAAAAAAAAAAAAAAAAAATTATTAATTCTAAATATTTCATCAATATTCTTCTACTACTATCTGATTTTAACTTAATTTCAAACTAGATTTCTCTTGCTAAAAACTATTAAAAATCTTTTTATAGTATTTGTAATTTAGAAAATACTTATTAAATAAGAAAATATATTAATTAAGCTATAAACAAAAAATATAATCTCTTATAAACTAAACTCACAAAAATGATTAATAGTATTTTAGAAAATATAGTAAATCTATATACTTTAATAATATTAAAACATAAAATAGAATCATAACGAAATCTTCTAAAATCAAAACAGCTATTAAATAATATTTTATAAATAAACTATATGAGGTAAAGTTAATAGAAAAGAAACAAATCATTTTTAGTAAAATTTTTTTTATTTTTAAATTAAAATATCTTAATAATAATCTTATCAAATTTAATAATAGTTTTAAAAAAATATGCACCTGCACTGTAGTGTACCCTATTTATATATACATACTATATACATAATACAGTATGTATTAAATACTATACATAGAATTAAATACGTATACTTAATTATTATCTAATAAACATTGATATTCTCAAATAATCTTAATATTAAGTTTAAAAACAAGATGTATTACTAAGTAAAAATCTTTAATTTTATATAGATATAAATTCTTTGCACAATAAATGCAAAATTTAAATAATAATAACAATTAAAAAGACTATATAATGAATAATATTAAAAAGCAGTATTTTATTATGTAAAGAATTCTATATTTAGAATACTTTGGTATTAGTAGCAATAACACTCAAGTACATTATAACAATATATATTAAGTTTTAGCAATAGCCTATTTTACGCATTTCAAATTTTTTGATATTCATATATATATATCAATATTCTAACTACTTACATTCTTTTTTAAGCATGTAGCAATATTATGACCAAATTCCTTACAATAGCTATATTGATTTAAATACTTTCACTTAATATTAATCAATGTTTTGTATATTGGTAGTTGATTATATTTTCATTTAGCTGTTTTATATATTGGTGACTGATTACACTTATTATTATTATTACGATGGCTTGATAATTTTAGTTTTCCCTTTGTAGCAACTTTTAATAGATTCTTGAATAAAGCACTTAAAAGTATATTCTTATTAGGACTATCTAAATCCGCATGCCTTTTTGACTTACTTGTTAAGCTTGAACTAATTCTTCTTTTTTACACATATTAGCAATATATTTTAAAATACATAGTTATAAACTTAATCTGAAATCATACTTCAGATTAAAACTATAGAGTTTATTTTGAAGTAATAACTTAGTGTGGTTTGGTTTTACTAGTTACTCTAGCAGAGTATACACCACACCACTATGTTAACAGCTCTAATAACAAAACAAATCAAATATTTACAATATAAAATTTAGCAAAAAAATTTTTTATTAGATTACAATTACACATTTTAATTTTGATTAGCTTATCTAATACTTTTATGCTATTACGCAGTATATAAAAATTGCCATTATAAAAAACTAATGAATATTTGCAAAATTTTATTTAATATAAATTGTTATATATGTTACACAAAAATGCATTAATTATTTTTTTATGACTACATATATCTTTGATTTACATAGTACATGAATATCCAAGCGAAGCGTGTCGATGTTATCTTAACCTAAACATACTTATCATTTATACATTATAATTTATATATGTTTTTTTTTTTTATTATCGTACCATTTATATTGTGCACCGAGCATTTCGCACAAGCGCACATAATTTAATAAAACCCGGAATCATAGGTTATCCGGACAACCCATTTAACAATCCGGTTATATAACCTATAGATGGGGTGAGTAATCTGGAGATCAAATTTTCTGGCGAGTCCAATCGCTAGTTTGAAAACTACTTTTTATATTTCTGAAATTAAATAAGCAGAAATAATAAATAAAAGTGTTCATTTACACATAAAAAAATAATAATAATAGAAAAAGAAACTTACATCTTCATTTTGTAGTTTCTTGTTTGGATCTATTGTGTTTCGCAAGCCAAGTAAGCCTTTAGATACTGCTTCACTGGCTCCAATCATTGGTTTTAATACAGCAACTGGAACTGCACGAATCACAGCCTTAACTGTTCCCTGAGTTCCAGTCTTTTCATATACTTCCATTGGAACGGCAAAAATTGTATGTGCTGCGGTCCCAATATTTTGTTTTAAACTTTTATAAGCAGCCTCAATTCCTATATGAGATTCATTGAACATTAGCAACAACAGCAACGAAAAAATTTTTTCATATCATATAAGAATTTACCTTCATTTATGTCTGCAGGCTGATTAGCATACTTGCTGATAAATTCTTTACCATCATCGCTATCAAACTCTTCATTATCTATATTTGAACCGTTATTATTGCTTGTTCCGGTTTGGGATTCAAAAGAAAGTATTTCTTCTGCCTGCTCAAGTAAAATTTGAGTTCCAACGGCAAGTTTAGCACCATATTTAATTGCTTCCATAGTGGTTGCTTTGGCGAAAGACTGTGTTCCTCTCTGAAGACCTGTACATAGTCAAACAGAAATATAAGCAATTTTTCAGATAATCTTATTAAATATAGACACCCGCATCACGCTGGTAATAATAACAAAATAAACCTTTAATAATTCTTCCATCCTTCTTGTATTGTTCAATTGGCAATAAAATAAGATCTGCAACCCCTGAACCTATATTTACCAAAGATCGGATTGGAGCAACACCAGACACAACATTAGGCACTTGAGTATTAGTTATGTGCGGTAGCCATGCTGCCCCCAAGTCTTCTAATAAACGTGATACACCTTTAACCTATCATGCAAGTATGAAAATTTTTATTACCGAAAAGCTATAAAAAGTGAGATACCAAAACAGACAAATATTTACCCCTGTTAGCTTAAGACCCCGCAGTGTCATTTCCGCAGCTTCAAGATGGAAAATATTCATTAATTCAACCAAATTGCCTCCTTTTAAACTAGAGTAATCAAGATGTTTTGGTTTATAATCCAATTTCATTACAATAGGTTGAATTTCAAAGAGTTCTTCAAGAATTTATGTCAAGCAAAATGAATAATTAACAAATATTTCAATTATGATATAATATTACTAAATCATATAACTTACGGAAATATGTCTCGTCTTCAGCCTGTTGCTGAGGCGTATTATTAGGATCTTGGTATGAAAAAAACTTTATTACAAAATTTAGTGCATCCTGATCAATGTAAAACCTTAACGGTAAGAGCTTGGCCTATAATCCATTTAAATATTGTTAAGAAATAGAATAGTGCAAATGGATAAATATTGAAAATTATTGTAATAACCTTTAATCGAAATTCTTCTGCAGGATCTGTTGGTATAGGACGAACACTATTTAATTCTATCTTAACCATATTAGATTTATTCTCACGAGGATTAGTGTCATTATCTGGACGTAAGTGCGACAAGAATTTATGCCATGCGGAGGTTTTTATGTTGTCAAGAATTTCTAGATCTTTAATAAGCAACAATAACCGGAATGCTAGCAAGTTATCTTTTGGAAATAAATCAAATTCTAAATTGATTTTATCAAATTTAATGTCAAGCTTGCTTGTTTTTGACCGGCTGAATTTTGGCCGAGAAGAACGATTCTTTTGTTCAGGTCGTTTACCATCACGAATACTAGTATTATCAGAATCAACTCTCGAGCTTGCTTGACTGGAAGTATCACTATGATCATCTGCTATATATTCAAATTCAGACACTAATTGTGACGATCCATCATGATCAGGATTCTTAAATGGCGAGCCTACAAATAATAAGCGGTCAAATGGACTGGATAATTCAGTATCCACTGGACCACGCGTTTCACCTGCGGAAGCTCCTGATAAATTAGTAGCAGCTGCAGAATTTTTTGCATTGTTTAATGCCTCAGATGCTTTAGTTCTATTGTGTTTCCAGTCATAGCCATCATATAATTTCCACACTATATTAAAATCACGAAGACGGATCCTTGTTACACTATTTGGTAAGCTGTAAAATAGTGCTAAAGTTTAGATGAGCAAATGAAAGACTAATATACTGTAAATTATTATATACTCACTCTTGTCTAACTTCCTCAAGCTCACTTGCACTCGGAACAGAGAAGTGATCCTCTACAAAATTAAGAGGCTCTAAATCTAGTGGGTAATCTTCGTCATCATTAGAAATCACATCTGAGTCTTTTGTAACTGTTTGCTGAGGATTTGACGTTGGGATGACATGTATTGACTGGTCTACTATAAAGTCTAAACAAAAAAAAAGAATAGTTTATAAAATGAAAATTGAAATGGTCGAAATAATTTAAATATTTTCACACCATCATTGAAATCATCATCATCAACTACGGATGCGTTCTCAAAATTAATATCTGATTCGAGTATTCCATCATTTTCCTCGATTGCATAGAAATCTTCACGGAATTCCAAATTAGAATTAGGATTACTAACAGATATTTTTGATCCGAATGACTTTTGTTGTGGTCGCTTGAACGCTTCTTCATCAAGACTCGCTAATTTTGCAAAATTCAACATTTTTAACATTAATATGCAAATATATATAAAGCTCATTATTGCAATCATTCCTTAAAGACAATCACCTAACATGTTCCGATAATCAGGTTCATCTGAATTTTCGTAGATATCTTTTGTACTGGTAGTCACATGATGCACTCGTTTCCTTTGTAATTGGCATTAATGTTAGCAATGTCAATAATGAAGACATTAAGACAGTAAACTTTAAATTTATACCCTTTTCCCGTTTCTAAAGGATACTCTGTTTTGGGAATTATCAAATTTATCAATGTCTGAAGAGTATCTACACATGTCTCAATCGTGAGGTTTTCGTTTGTAAGTTCAAGCTAAAAAAAAAAAAAATACATATTTAATAAGAAATCGTATTATAGAAACAATAAAGTGATAAAGCCCATACATATAGATGCGGATATATTTCTCCTTTGTTAGCTTGCAGTATAATTTCAGCGAAATCTAGTGATGCAGCTTTTACAAAACCTACAGACTAATAATTTTATAATGAGGCGTAAATTCATTAAATAAGATATAGTAAAGTTCATTAAAGTATTTACCTCCCAATATTTTTTCACGCTTAAAGGTGTTGAACCTAATCGATTAATGGATCGTTCATTATTAAGCGTTTTGACATCATCAACAAGCATTAAGTCTAAATTTTGAACAATAAATTTGGCTTTAAACATTGGCGAATCAGTTATAATACTTGATGCCTAATAATTTTTAAGTGAGTTAGTAAATTAGTTATATATAAAATAGGTTTATACAAATTTTTGATGTCGAAATTTACCTTCAGACCATCAAATACAATAATAATTCTTCCGTTGTTATCATAAGGATTATAATCAATTGAAAAATCATTGACAGTAACAAACAACTTGGTATATTGGTTGGGAAGGTCGAAACATGGATCCTATTTAAATAGGTGCAAACAATAATATACAAGCATTAATATGAATCTATTTATTTATTTATTTATTTGACTGCATGAAATTTTTGCAATACCATCTCTGGTTCTTGTAAAAACATAAGGAGGTCTTCGATCCATTGCGAACTTTTATTATGCTTTAAGGATACACCGTTTATTGATAAGGTTAAATTTGTTTCTTTCGTATTCACATCAACATCAAGTGAGATAAGTGCGATTAAAGAAATCATTGGACGAGTATTCTTTGCCTGCGAATTTATCAAACTATTTATACAAAATATTCCAACCAAAAAAAAAAAATCAATGAATGAATTATTATTACCTTGATGCCTTTGTTCAATGTTCGACATATAATCTGTGTCTTTTCACGGCCGGGCGTCGTATCCAAAAAATTAAATTGGTCATTATCCAAAACTACATACGTGTCATTCTAAAAAAAATAAAAAAATTTTATGAGATAATCTAAATTTAATTATGGAAAATATGGAAAATACATACTTTGCCTTCGTGCTTTATTACTGTGAAGAACCTAAAATCTGACATGTTAAATTGATACGAACGCATTGATTGTGTTAAATCAATTTTTTCCTCAGTCTCATGAAATATGGTAACCTCAACTAAAATAAATATGAATATCAAATTAAAATAATTATCAAATTAATAATACATGTAAATAAACAATTTCAAAGACTTTACCATTTGTTATAAAAACGACCAATGATGCAAGACTGGGTCTTAAAGGTAATGTATTATCCATGCGAGACCCTAAAATAGAAGACTCAAGTCTCCTTTTCATTTCAGAATCTTCAGATTCGTACGAATCCATTCCATATGTTTTATCATGATTAAATTTTAGCCCATATCCACCAGTCGCATTTAAATGAGTCGCCGGTGGTGAAGATGAATTTTCATTGACGCCGGATATATTATTTTTAGGTTGGAATATTTTGTATAGATAGTTTGATAAATTCGCAGGCAAAGAATACTCGTCCAATGATTTCTTTAATCGC